CTGATTTATGCAACGCCAAACAGAAAGATGCCAGCAGCTTAACGAAAGATGCCAGGTGTTTTCTAGAGCAATGGTTTTATAATCAAAACCATATCACGATGCAGGTTTGTAGTTGACGATACTCGATGCCATCGGTGTGTGCTCGTATGCAGAAGGATGCCGAAAGGCGGGCGCGCAGGGAAGCGGCGGCACGCGCTCACAGACAGGACCCTGAAGTGAGAGCCTGAGAGCCAGAAGCGCGCCGGGAAGCTGCGCAACGTCGCCGCCGAGATCCTGCGGTACGGGAACAAGAAGCCGCATCAGCAAGGCAGCGTCGGCAAGATCCCGCCGTACGTGAACAAGAAGCTGCAGCGGCATGTCAGCGTCGGCAAGATCCTTCCGTACGGGAACGAGAGGCCGAAGCAGCACGTCAACGTCGCGAAGCAGATCTTGAAAACGTTCGACAATGGGAAGCGACAAGGAAGCGCGCATATCGCCAGGCGAACCCAGAGGTGAGAGAACGCAAGGCGTCTGCAAAGCGGGCCAAGAAAGACCACGAAGGTGCAGACGCCCCGTTCGATAGAGATTTCCTGAAAATCACCTTTGGGCATAGCTGTAACCTGTGCGATAGACTCTGGTTCTCCAACAACCTAATCACGCTATTGTCGATCAGAAACGAGGAGTCTCGCAATAATGCCATCGCCACGTTGCAGCACGCGTTTCCCGCCGCAATTGCCAAAGATCACAAAGTTTGCTCGAATTGTAAAGATTCTTTGACGGGCGGCAAGGTGGCAAGGAACTAGCACTCTGCACACAGAGCGACGATGAAGAAAGTGCTGCAATCGATTTTGGTGGCATCATCATCTTGATACTGTACCTGGAACCAAATCTTCCCATCCAAGACATCAAACTGTTCATCGACAGAGACATATGTATATACGACAAGTCGAAACCTTTCACGCTCGTCGATGACTAACGTTGACATTACAGACCCCAACAAACATTAGTTGATGCATCACATGTCAGAAAAGTACGGACTCAAATGCATCTCCTTTGAAAACTCCAACCCAACCACTATCAGAGGCACCTGTATCGACATCATGTTTGCCAATTTTCATCTGCAACCAGTGCAAGAGCCACTTAGCTTACATTTCACCGACCACAAAGTGGTCATACTGAAAGGACAACGAAAACCAGCAATAAAAGTTTGATAACACATTTCATCAATCGTTTCACGTCAATTTTATCGGGCAAATTAAAGGAAAAAATTTCATGGTTTAACCGAAGATTACTTCCAGTAGCTTCGCCCAATCTCATCATCATTCACCTCATGGATCTGCCTTCAATTTTTTCTTCTTTTTGTCAGTTATGGAGGTTGTGAACACATGACGTGCATCAGAACAGTTTCTTCCATTTAAATAAAGAATGCTTTCATTTAATTCAGTAAATTTGCGGAATTAGCATAGTTATGCCTGATTTCAGGTAACGGAAACAATGATAGGCAGATACAGCTACCACAGATACAAATAAAAACACATGGATGCCGAAAACTGCGGCATTTGCCCTTACTGCAATCTTAAATGGCACGTTTCCGCCAACGGTGGGCTAAAATTAAGAATATGTTTGATGCGTGCAGTTGGCGAGTTTCATTCGACAGATAATAAAGGCGATAATCATCGGCTAGACTTGACACACGACATATCGATGCAGCAAGTTCGGGGTGCGATCATTACGCGGGGAGAAAAAAATCGCATTTAGCCAACAGAATTCAGGCGTGCAATCATTCACGAGTAAATACGGTAGGTGAATTTTTTTTTCAGTGTTTTTTCGCAATACTTCTCGTATAGGCTAGGAATAGTTAATACAACAAACTTGAAATGAAAGTGGGCTGTATTAGAATGATATACACTCCGCTCCAACAGCAGAGGAGGACAATGATCGGTGGCTGTAGTTGTCACTCAAGCACGCGCTCGCTAGTAGCTAAACCTGCCTTACAAAGCATTTATTTTGTTTGACATATGAAACCCGTTCATGTTTAAAGCACCAATGCAGCAAAATATTGCTGGCACGATTGGTGAACAGTCTGCAGACATAAAAACAGCCGTCCAGATGGAGAATAAGTGGAAAAGCCTTAAGAGGGTCTACAAGAGGATGGGGAAAAAATGTTTCCTCTGGGCCTTCGAGTACCTGATGTGGATTTGAAAAGCTGTGGCTTCTTAAAGGAGCACTGACATCAAATTTCAAGATCGAGATGTGCCCATCATTCGATCGCTTGGTATGCATAGATCTTCTTAGAAAAATTTGAACGGCATCCGTCACGTGGAAGTTATTTTAATTCGATATCAAACAGCGTAGAAAAGCTAAGGAGAAAAAACAAAAATATACTGCCCTGCGACACCGACACTAGTGCTACATGTTCGGTGCGATACATTCCACAAATACCATTCTGAGTGACGATGCCTTAGTAGCGATGACGTGTACGATTCCAGTGTTGTTATCGTGGCGCCCACTGGCGCAGAAACACACTCGCCCGTCGGGTCTGATCCTTCGTTGCACCGGTTAAAAAATTTCGTGAAATTATCAACATAAAAACCACCTTTAGAAAACAGCAAAAGAAAAGAGCATGATTAAACGTGTGCTTGTCGGTTAGCATGTCGGGGAATCGTGAGCTGCAGTCATCTAGTTCGAAGCACGGAAAAAGCACAATGCGGGTGTCTTCATATCAAACTTTCAAACTTTATTTATTTACCAGACAAAAACTGGAAGGTCGCCAAGGCGAAAAGCCGTAAGAACGGCGTGACAAAGGCCCTGGTGACCCGTACATACGCATGGCAAAAGTGTGGAAATGATTAGAGGTACATAACTTGCAAGTACTAATATAAAACATAATTATTATTATTATAAAACAGTGCGCGCGAACGAGGATGTAGTATGAAAAGTGCGCATTCATTGAGAAAACCTGAAGACACAGAAATACATCTGTATCTCCAGTGATCACTTCATCATAAATAAGCGCTTTTTCAAGTTAATTGCAGGTTTACCACGCTTACTGATATGATCGCGTCGCTTCTCCAGAATGCTACCTAGATCCTCAGCGATGTATGTAGAGACGACCCTTTCCCCCTGAGTAGCAGCGCCTCGTGTTGTTATATGAGGTATAACGGTGCAACACATGTGACCATGTATTCTTTTGCACGACAACCCGCGACTTTAATGGTCGACACAAACCCCGACTTGGCACCGAGCCTACTGCTGGACCACAGCTGTTATGACCGGACTACCACCACAGCATCTGCACGTTTTCACCATGGTGACAGTAATGATGAACCATCAGCAGTTCTTTCAAGTAGGACAAGCAGAGCACATGCACGTTTTCTTTCGCCACATCCCTCAAATGATGGCAATAAGCTGTGCGCACAGCCTGTCTCAATGTTGACTAACATGGCGGTCGCTGTTGGGCATTACATCCACTACGGACAGCTGGCGCCACCTATCGTGATGTGCAACTATTAGCGGTTGAGGAGAGCGGCCGCAAGGGAGACTGAGGGGGATGGTTGGGGCGAGCGCGAAGCGGTTCATGAGGCATTATGTAATCTCTTCGAATCGTTGATAAACCAGTTGTTTGTCGTTCAATCAGTCGTGTCATCGTATGCATCAACCCCTGACATGGCGACGAGGACTTAACAACGAACCTATGGCTGACATAGAACAGAAGACGAAGCGAGAAGATAGCACTGTACGTACCGAGGCCTAGCAACAGCAAGTGCCGCCAGCGACAACGACCAGTATGGAGACCGACCACACCGAAGTGAAAAACTCCACGCTGATTGCAGACGAAGCGGCTTTTGGCACGAACGAGCTGAAGCTTATGACGCCTCAAGGTATTTTCGAAGACAGCATCTCTCCAACTCGCTTGACACGCATGGACGCCATCGAAAACCGAACTACACCAAACGAAAACGCAAACGGAACAACGGAGCTTGTGATGCTCAACACTACGTTGCAAATGATGGTGCGACTTCTCCAAAGGCAGTTGGGAACACCGCCAGGCACATCGAACGACAACGCCACCACTGCTCAGCTGCAAAAAACTACGACACCAGATCTCACTGGAACGCTGCCGACCTATTCGGGAACTGAATCAGACAACTTCGCTCAGTGGAAGACTGCCGTAGAATCAATGCACCAGCGGTGCGCATGGACTGAGGCAGCAACAATCAACGCAAGAATCTTGCGAATTAGGGGCCGCGCAGCCGCTTTGCACCGAACAACCGGGCACCTGCACGCCGACTGGACATCATGGGTGACGGCATTAAAAACTGAATTTGACAAGCCTCTCCTGTTCTGTCAATGGTTCGCCTACATCGACGCAAGATCTCAACGAGAGAACGAAACTATGACAGACTATATGTACACATGCCTCCAACGCATCAGACAAGCCTCGTATAAACTGTCCGACAATGATGTGGTCGACTGGCTCATACAGGGAGTATGGTCAACGAACGTAAAACCCATGTTAGCAGCTTTTTACGATCTGCGGCGCGGAACAATCGCAGAGTTCTTGCATTATGCCCAACAGATGGATAAACGAGATGTTGAAATCAGCGACGAAAAAAAGCCTCCGGCAGTCAGCAAATCGTCAAAGCTCAGCGAGAGAAATGCAACTGAACCAACGACCACAACGACACCAAATTATGCACGCTTGCCGGCCGACACTTGTGCACGTTACAAAAGGAAAGGACACAGAGCGATCAACTGCCCTGATCCAGACACACGCACAGAAGATGAAAAAGCAGCAGCTGTGCAACGTCGCCAAGCGAAAAGCTCACCAGAAGGCATCAATAGGGTCACCATCGCAGAGACGAGTGGGCGAAGGATAATACTACTACAGGCCAGTGTAAATGACACCACGTCACAAGCACTTTGGGACACAGGCTGTGCAGTAACACTCATCGACGAGCAGTTTGCACAAAAGCACAAATTCAAGGTTGCTACTGACGTGGACTGTGTATTGGGTGGTCCATTTGGCAACTCGTGCAAGCCAACCGGAGTGACTCAAGCGAGGATCACCATTGGTGATAACTGTGCTACAGTAGAAGCTAAAGTGATCAAGAACCTTCCATACAAAGTCATGGTAGGCCTTGACGGGAGACAGGCCATTTCGTTTGACTATATTGAACACTACGATCACGGCATTCACACTATTGAGTTCATACAGAAACTGGAAAAGAATGTGCGTATATCAACAAGCAGTGACTCGGACACACAACCGTCTCTGTCAAATTTCGTGACAGAACTGAGCACGGTCCACCTCCTAAAGTGCGAAAGCATCAAATACTCCAAAAAAATGTCCAGCGCAACGCAGTTAAAGCGCTTTTATGAGAAAACACAAGACAACTCCACCACTGCACGATGACTCCGCGCAATCCACTCAAGCACCGTTAGCTACTGATGACCGCTGCAGACTGAGAAAACCACCACGTTGGCTTCAAGATTGAGGGGGACGATTGGGGCGAGCGCGAAGCGGTTCACAAGGCATCAGTTATGTAATCTCTTCGAATCGTTAATAAACCAGTTGTTTGTCGTTCAATCAGTCGTGTCATCGTATGCATCAACCCCTGACATCGCTCACTTAGCCAGCTGGAAATGACATCACATGCAACCCATGTATATGATAACTTGTAATGTGTTGTATCTGTTAGACACACAAAGAAAACAGTCTGATCATGACAACTATATCAATAGGCACAGCAACAGTAGGTTAGTGCATTTCATAGCTAGCTATGTTGTCAAAAAGTCTCTTAAAAGATTGGCATGCTCCGAATATCCCTCCTGAGTCAGCATCACCTAGCTTAGGCCTAGAAACAACCAGATTGCTCTTTCGAATCGTCCAGTTTTGCTGTTTCAAGCCTTGCGCTGCTCGACGCAAGCGTCACCAACTGTTTACAGTTCACAGAGCCAACACTATGCGAAGGTATGACAAGACACATAAAGGTTCAAATCTTAGAAGATTCACAAAGGGTACAGGAAGCCCCCCCCCCCCCTCTTTTTTTTTTTTTAATGCGGCGTATACTCCTCCTCATTTTTTACATTTCAGTAGCACGCGTCTCCGCTGCGACATGAGCACCGGCTGGCTTGACGCATGCGCGATCTTGAGGTGTCATTTGAGCAGCGTGCGCCTTTTCTACCACAACCTCTGTCTCGCGACACATCGATGAACTTACCAGTGGCGAGTTGTGGCACTTTCCCCATATCTGCGACACATACCTTTCTTGGCCGCAGACAACCTTCGTTCGGGGCGCGGTGGTTGGTAGCGGGGCTTGCCTAGGGTCAACCTGCCAGCGGACAGCCAAACACGGGACACAAAATTATGAGCACAAGGACTGGCGCCGGACGGGCGCCCCACACAAACTCGCCCAACTGTCAGTCCTCCCAAATTTATCTCACCTTGTTCGTAAGGCTTGGCACCTCGAGGTCCGCTGAGGCCTTTCACAAAGGATGACAGGTCATGTAGCCCACGTTGACGTGACTGCCTTTTTCAGGGTCATTCACAATGGTATGGCAGTCATGGTTCACGGCATTGTTCATACTAAACGAGTTAGGTTAGAGCCCCGCACCGCACGTTTCACAAAGCATTCACCGACTCCCGCGCATATGCACGTGGGTTACTCAATACCCAACTCTCCTCATACCGTATCGGAATGACAGCGGATGTTGACAAACCAAAAAAAGGTACATAACGGTGAGTAGCATTATCGTTCTCAAGCCGGCTGGAACGACTATTTTTCGACTCCCGCAGTGAATTTGGCGCTTTGAGCTAAGGTGCCGTTCTGGCTGTGATACATTTTTTTTTTTTTTTATTGATGACGAACAAGCTGCCCAGGGTTGCCAGGTGCTTGGAAAGCAACCCGCCAAGTTTAGGCTTCATAACAACCTTAAGACAATAAAATTCAATAAAACATTTTTTATTTATTGTAAACTGACACGACACAAGTTCATACACCAAAAAACAAATAATCAATGTATTAAAAGACAGGTCATTCCCCTAATACAAGTACAAGATAAAATTGTGGTTACATAAAAAAACTTGTGTGTCAAGACAAATGAAAAAGGTTATACATAGATTATGCATTACCAACAAAATAAACCTAATGAAAATAAACAAAATGAAGTACAGGCAAAATTAATGTCTCAACATTGCGGTTACACATGTCAAGCTAATTGTGGAGTAGCAAAAAATTAGTTACGTAAACAGTGAAATAACTTTCATAAATAAATAAAAATAAAAAACTAAAAAGTACAGGCAATATAAAGAATTTACAAAACAACATATAAAGGTTTTCAAACAAAAGTAAAAAAAATTATTAACAGCCGTAGAGGTGTGCGTTGAGGCGATTTCGACCAGCAGCGGCGTGGGGGTCGTCCAGAGTCGGCGGCGGCGGCGTTGTCGGCGCACGCCGGTTTTTTCATCGGCGGCGGCGTGTGGCCAATTTTCGTCGGCACTCGGCGGTGTCGGCGGCGCAGAAACCGAAACTGTAAATTGAAAAGGCTCTTCTGCCACAGGTTACTGAATTCGTTGAAATTCAGGGATTTTCATCCAAATAGCATAAATGACACTACACAGATGTGTCGACATTCCGATGAATGCAAAGCGTTTTGTAAAGTAGTTTTTATTTTGCCTTCATAAAAAAATAAGGCGTATTTCAATCTATGTCCGTGTTCTACCGTAAATGTGATTGATTGATTGATGTTTGAAGTTTTGTGGCGCAAGGGCCGTTTCACGGCCAAAGAGCGCCAGTGCATGTTACTAAGAATATGGACAATGATTGTGATAAGCGCTGTATAAAGGCCATAAAATTCCTCGCGGTAAGGCGGGTAAAACATACAATAATAAAATCATGACCATGCCGTGAAAGGTGTGTATGGTGAGGATAGATGACAAGAGTTGGTGATTATAAAAAACGATGGTGGATATGAATGGCATTAGCACAAGTGCCTCACTCGTTCATGCCCTTGCGTCCAAGGACCGTGAGGCAAGTGCTTTCTTGTGTAACCGCCGCAGCAAAAACCTCTCTAGAGAGGTCGTGCTACGGAATGCCCGGGTGTATGATATGAAAATTATTAATTTCTTTTAAAAACGCAAACAATGATTTATGACTAAAAAGCGGTTCCCTACCGACGAACATTGCAGGGTGTAAAGGTATATGCTGTCGGTAGGGTAATGGAAAATGTCGTTTTCTTGGAGTTTCTAAGTGTTTGCACTGGATTAATATGTGAAGGACTGTCAATGCCTCTCCACATCTGTCACACAATGGTGGATCACCACCGGACAAAAGATGCGTGTGTGTCGTGTATATGTGTCCTATCCTGAGTCTTCTTAGTGTTACCTCTGTTAGACGTGATTTTGATACTGGTGGCCAATGGCCAAGTGTGGCTTGATAACGTGTAGTTTGTTTTTGTGTGTGTGTATCCCACTTGCTCTGCCAGTAGTCCCTGAGTTTTCGTTTGAGAGACGGCTTAAGATCAAGGGCCGGGATTGATGTCGGTGTAATGGCGGTGCTTTCGTGGGCGGATGCAGCAAGCTGATCCGCCCTCACGTTGCCTTGAATCTCACGGTGCCCTGGCACCCAGCACACTACAACATGTTGTTTGAGTGTGTATAGTGTGCATAAAATGGAGTAAAGTGAAACAAGGACTGGGTTTTTGTGTTTTTTAAGAGTGTGCAGAGCCGTTACTACACTGAGGGAGTCTGTATAAATTACTGCTTTTTGTATTTGTAATTGCTTGATGTGTTTAGCCGCCACAAGTATCGCGTAGGCTTCCGCTGTGAAGATACTTGTGCCTGGATGTAGAGGACCAGCATCCGAAAAGGATGGGCCGACAGCAGCGTAGGACACAGAGGAGTTAGTCTTCGAGGCATCTGTGAAGAACTCAGGACGTGTGTATTTGTGTTGAAGTTCCAAAAAGTATGTTCGGATATGGGCAATAGGTGCATGTTTTGTAACATCAAGAAAGGACACATCACAGTCTATAGTCTGCCATTGCCACGGTGGCAGATATGCTACAGGAGCCATTAAACTGTGTTCGAGTGACACTCCAGTGTCCTCAGCTAGACCCTTCAGGCGAACTGAGAAGGGCTGCCTCATTGAAGGCCTGTTTTGGAAAAGAATGGAGCTCGACAAGTCATTAATAGTAGAGTATGAGGGGTGCCTCCTGTCTGCCTCCACCTTAAGGAAATATACAAAGGGCATGTAGGTTCTTTGCAGATGAAGCGACCACTCATTTGACTCAACGTAAAGGCTTTCTACGGGGCTGGTGCGAAAGCACCCGTAGAAAGGCGGATGCCCAAATGGTGCACGGGGTCCAGCATCTTCAAGGCACTTTGAGTAGCAGACTGATAGACAATGGCCCATAATCTAAGCGGGTGCGAATGAGGCTTCTATAGAGGTTCATGAGGCATTGCCTATCACTGCCCCAAGTAGTACGTGACAACACTTTTAAAACATTCATGGCTTTTAAACATTTTGTTTTTAGATACTTGATGTACGGCACGAAGGACAACTTGTTGTCCAAAATTAGGCCTAAGAATTTATGCTCAGCTTTGACGGACAGACGTTGCCCGTTCAGTTGAATGTCAGGTTCCGAGTGCATGCCTCTCTTTCGAGAGAACAAAACACACGTGCTTTTTTGTGGGTTCAGTCGGAATCCGTTTTCCTCTGCCCATTTGGAGAGCTTATTTAAACATAACTGAACCTGCCGCTCACACAATGCCAGATTGCAAGACCTAAAGCCAAGCTGGACGTCATCGACATATGGTGCAATAAAACATATTGCGAGGGATGGTCAAGCGCAAAGAATTCATTTTTATGAGAAAAAGTGTGCAGCTAAGTACACCACCTTGTGGCACGCCTGTTTCCTGAACAAATGTTTGGGAAGAACCGTGCCCACTCGGACACGAATGTCCGATTTGACAGGTAACTTTTGATTATGTGAAACATTCTTCCGCGCACGCCAAGGTGGGAAAGGTCTCTTAGAATTCCGAAACGCCATGTTGTATCATAAGCCTTTTCGATATCGAGGAACACAGAGAGAAAATATTGTTTATGGACGAAGGCATCTCTGATCTGTGCCTCGATACGAACAAGGTGGTCTGTGGTGGATCTACGTTCTCGAAACCCGCACTGAAATGGGTCGAGCAAATTATTTGTTTCAAGGAAATGTACAAGTCGGCAGTTTATCATTTTTTCGAAGACTTTGCACAAGCAGCTTGTAAGTGCTATAGGCCTATAACTCGAGGGTAAAGAAGGGTCTTTGCCTTGTTTCAAAATGGGAATAATAATAGCCTCTTTCCAGGAGGTAGGATAGCGCCAGAAAACCAGATAGCATTGTACAAACAAAGTAAGGTTTTCCGTGTTTCGATGGTAGGTTTTTATCATTTCATACATCACACGGTCAGAACCTGGGGCAGAAGTACTGCAGGAGTTTAGAGACATTTGCAGCTCAGCTAGACTGAAAGCTTGGTTATATGCCTCGGATCTAGTGCATTTGTGTTCAAGTTTCTGCTTTTCTATTCTTGTTCTGTATTGTTGGAAAGTGTCAGTATAGTGGGATGAGCTGGACACGTGTTCGAAGTGTGCACCGAGGAAGTTTGCCTGATCTTCCAAGGTATCACCCTGACTGTTTACGAGTGGAAGTGTGTGTACTTGTTTTCCTGCTATCCTAGTGACCATGTTCCATACTTTAGCCTCCTGTGTGTATGATTAACCCCGGATAAAAACGTCTGCCAGCTTTCTCTTCTGGCCTGCCGACGCGTTCTCCTGCCTTGAGACTTATTTTCTTGAAGGTTTCAAGATTTTCGGCTGTCGGTGAGTTACGAAGCAGCCTCCAAGCTCTGTTTTGCTGTTTGCGCGCGTTTCGGCATTCATCGTTCCACCAGGGCACACATCGTTTTCCAGGGTGTCCATTTGTTTGTGGGATGCATTTTGTTCCAGCATCAATCAAAACGCTGTGAAGAAGTTAACAGCAGCATCAATGTTCAAAGTACTAATGTCATTCCATCCTAGACGAGCAATGGTATAAAACTGTTCCCAGTCGGCTCTGTTTATGAGCCACTTGGGAACACGTAGTGGACACTCAGTTACTGCTTGTGCTCAAAACTACGGGGAAGTGGTCGCTTCCGTAAAGATTACTGACGACTTTCCACTGGAGTAGAGACACAAGGGATGGAGATACTATGCTTAGGGTCTATTGAGGAGTAGGTGTTATTGGGCGAGATTATAATAGGTTGGTTCTTTTCGGTTTAGGAGACACGCGCTCGACTTGAGAAGAGCTGTTCGATCAGTCGACCTCGCGCGTCATACCGAGAGTCTCCCCATAGCCTGCTATGCGCATTAAAGTCTCCAAGGAGAACATAAGGTTCCGGAAGTTCATCAATTAAAGAGTGTAAATCACGTTTTTTGCAGCTGATAGCTAGGAGGAAGGTAAATAGTGCAGATTGTGCTCAGTTTTATCAAAAGACCGCTCGAACAGCCACTGCCTCAAGGGATGTGTTGGAGTTGTAAGTGTGTGGCATGCAATTCCTTGATTCACTATGATGGCAAAACCTCCGGATGATGTCATGGCATCATCACGGTCCTTCGAAAAATAACGTATTGCGGAGAAAATTTGTGTGTTTTGAATTAAGGTGTGTTTTCTTGTACACACAGCACTTTTGGTGAGTGTTCGTGTAAGAGTTCTTGGATGTCGTCAAGGTTTCTGAGGAGGCCCGACGTCCATTGTATAATTTGAGTGGTCATGGTGAATGTGAATAATGCTGTGTGTACGATAAGAAGTG